CTTTCTTTCTTTCTTTCTTTCTTCATATTTTGGTGTCTTTCCACAAATTATTAAGATACTGTTACCCAGTGCCCCCAATGGAACCATGCAAAATCCAGGCATTGCTCCGAGGAACAAAATTTAGAATTTTATCTAAAAAAAAACTTCCCAGGAGGAATTTGTAAGGAGCAGTAAACCAGAGAAGCAGCATGACTTCAAACGGAAGCTGCCAGCTTGACTCCAGGGGAGGGAGATCAAAATTAAGGTTGACTCGCCTTTGCTCGATCATCGGAAAGCTTAGAAATCTCCATATTTTCACCAGGCGGGGCGATCGAACTCGGGATAAAGGAGGGAGCAAGAGACTGCTACGTTTTGGGTATTGCCACAGCAGCTTGTTCCCCCCCCCTTCTTTTTTGAGCCTAGAACTGCTGAGAGCCCCCACCAGAAGATGCTCAGCACGGCCGTCTTCCAGCTATCCGAAAGGATGAAGGAACTGCAGGACCAGAACGAAAGGCTGAAAGCAGACATGGACCACGCTCTGAGCAGCTTCCTCTCGTCCAGCCAAGCCAAAAGTAACCCTCCTGACCACTCTTTAACAGGTCTCCAAAACAGCATTTCTCAACCTTGGCCTCTTTTAAGGTGGGCGGACTTCAGCACCGCCGGCCGGGGAATTCTGGGTATTGAAGTCCCCCCACCTTCAAGCGACCAAGGTTGCGGAATGTTGCTCTGAGGGAACCAAGCACGGGTCAACAGACTTCACCAAGAGGTCTAACCTCACATGGATCAGTGGTGGGTTTCAAAAATTTTCGCTACCGGTTTGGTGGGCGTGGCTAGGTGGGGGCCCCCATGTGACTCAGTGGGTGTGGCCGACTTGACGTCGCCCACGCCCACTCAGTCACATAACCCCACCCATCTAGCCACGCCCACAGGAAAAAGTAGGAAAATTTTTGGAATTTCCACCTATCTACCCCCACCGTCCCTTCACCAGTCACCCCCGTTTCTCCTCGTTTAGCGACCCCGGCCGTAGCCCCGCTTCCTCCCCCACCACCACTTCTTTGTTCAGGCTGTTTACCTTCTGCGGCGGCTGGTCCAGAGTCCGGAAGGCAAGCTGACCAGAGTTTTTGGTGGCCACCAGCTAGCCGCTGCCGCTGGAAAGCGGCTCTCAAAGAGGCGACGGCTGGCCGCAGGCCGCTGAAAAATACCGGAGGTCGCGGAAAAAGCTGCTGCCGTTGCCGCCATGTTCTTCACGCATGTGCATCCCATTAGACTTGCAAGGCAATGGGATGCGCGTGCACAAGGAACATGGCGATGAACATGGGCGGGGCGAGCAAGCAGCGACGGGGAAGCAGTTCGGGGGTGTGGCCAGTCTGCCATCGCTACCGGTTCGACGACCTTGGCCAAATTTCTGCCAACGGTTCACACAAACCGGTGCGAACCGGCTGAATACCACCTGGTGTGGATGAACACTCAAAAAGTCAAAAATGTTGGTGGGAACTAAAAAGTGGGAATCCCGGCAGCACCCAGGAAGCATTGGGGATTTGCCATACAAAGGGAGTCCCGCGTGTGGTCGCTTGTCTGCCCTTGCTCTCTCGAAAGGACTCTCTCTGAGTCCTTCGGGAGAAGGGCAGTATAGAAGTCTAATAAAAGTAAAGTAAAGAAAAGAAAAGCACGGTGAAAAACTTCCTTGCTCCCAAGGAAGCAAGGCAGTACTTCCCTCTTCCAATAGCTGATAAGGGACTCTCTGAAAATTTCTCATTTATAGACCTTCTTCCTATCAAGTGGCCTAGAGGTGGAGCTCTCGCCTCACAATCGGGAGGCTGTGAGTTCGATCCTAGGTAGAAGCAGATATTTCTCTCTCTGGGCACGATGAGAATTTATCTGCTGAATATAACTCCGCATTGGCGACAGGGAAGGGCATCCGGCCAGTAAAACGCTCTGCTAGCTCCATTCAGTTGCCCAGACTCCACCCCCCCACAAGGGATTATGGGGCCATTAAAAGACGGCGTTGGACTCCTTCCTATCCCTCCCTCATTCTCTCGCCCTGCTCTCATCCTCATGCCCATCAGAGGCACTTTAACGATGGACGGAACCCATCTAGCAAGGGAATATGCACTTCTAGCTTTTATAACCAACACCCTTCTGATGGCTGATGAGCATCAGTAGGTCCTTTGTTTTCTCTCCCATTTTGAAAACTCTATTCCTTTTCCTCAGGTTATCTTGCTCGCCAGAGGCAGAAACTGCTCCAACAGATTTCTGCTGGGGAAAAAGTAAGTGAGAGTTATTCCGGAGTAAATTGGCTGCTAACCATGTTCAACGGGACGCTTGCACGAACTTTGATGAAGAATCAGAGATTTGGGACTTCACTATCCCAAATATTGGGATATTGGGACTTAGTACAGCATGATATCTGTCAGTGGGAGATGATGGTTTCAGGGTCCAGCATTAGCTTACCTAGCCATCTTTCGCGAGATGGCCTGGATCATGGTTTGCCTGTGAATTACAGACAGAGGTTAGAAGCTGCTGACCAGGATTGGTTTTGGAGTGTGGGGGGGCACTCGAAAGGAGAAATTTCATGCTGGTTCCATCACCAGCTTGTTCCCAACTCCAGAAAGGGATCCAACTTCAAAGCAAGCAGCTACCAATGAGTCTGCTAGTTTTCCTTTTGCAATCTGCCCCCCTTCGCCTCTTTGGACTACAATCCCCAGCATCCCCAGTGGTGGGTAAAAGATCAGAAAGGCTGCATATTTTAGAACACTTTTTTTTCTCTCCAGCTGAACTGCTTCTCATTAAAGCAAGTTTCAATTTTCTGGAGCTTCTAGCTCATTAGATAACTTGCAGGGAGGGGGAAAATGTTCCAGGTGGATCAGTGTTTCATTTTTTTTTTTTTCTTCCTCTTCCAGGAAATGGAGGATGGGTTGCGGCCTTCAGAGGCCAGCAGGGCGCTGTTGCTCTCTCCCACAGCTTCTGGAGAAGTAGATCACTCCGTTGCTAAGGAATCCGATCTCCCAGAAATGTGTGAAGCTCTTGGCAAGACCGTGGCGGGGCTGAGAGACCATATTCTCGTCCTTCAGAATCAGCTGGCAGTTAAAGAGTTAAGTTCCTGGAACTCGGCCAACAGAGCCCAGATCCCACCTATTGCAGATTTGGGGGAGAAACCATCCAACTTTTCTTTCCCCTCCCCCCCCCTTCTCTTTCTGCCAGTCAAAAGTGAATACATTGCCCAGCCTAGAAAAGCTGCTTTGAATTCAGCAAGTATTTTTATTTATTTATTTCATCAAGCATGTATTAGATAACAGATAGAAGTATAAACATGATTGTTGACTCAGCCTTCCATCCTCCCGAGGTAGGTACAATGAGGACCTGGATTGTGGGGGCAATAAGCTGACTTTGTATAAAAAAGGACACCGCTTGCGGGGGCCCGAAAGCCCTACTAAGCAGGTATATACAAAAAGTATGAAGGCTATTGCTTAACGCATTGTAAGCCGCCCTGAGTCTCCGGAGAAGGGCAGTATATAAATCGAACCAATAAATAAATAAATAAATACATAATGAATACATGAAATGGATATGAATAAATGGGGACATTAGGACAAGGACGGTAGGCATGCTGGTGCACTTATGCCTGCCCCCTTTATGGATCTCTTAGGAATGGGGTGAGGTCAACTGTAAACAGTTTAAGGTTAAAGTTTTGGGGGTTTGGGGAAGAAACTACAGAGTCAGGTAGTGCATTCCAGGCATTGACCACCCTGTCACTGAAATCGTATTTTCTGCAATCGAGTTTGGAGCGGTTTACCTTGAGTTTGTATCTATTGTGTGCTTGTGTATTGTTGCAGTTGAAGCTGGAGCAGTCATTGACAGGTAGGACATTGTGTATATCCCAAAGTTGTCTTTTCTCTAGTTATTCCTCCTCCTGCTCCTTCTCACCAAGTTAGTGGAATTACTTAGTTTTCAGAAGAATTCCTTCAGCCTGCTGAGAAGCCCTAATGAGCCCTGGCTGGCAAGAATTGCATGAAGAAAGAAATGTGAGCCTGGTCTTAAAATGGATTTAAAAAAAATAATAACAATCCAGCAGGCAGCCCAAATTTTTTGGTAAAGTCTGACCTCCTCTAATTACTGTATTTTTTGGAGTATAAGATGCTCCGGACTATAAGACGCACCTACCTTTTTTGGTGAGGAAAACAAGAAAAAGAAATCTGCCTCTGCCTCCCAGCAATTTTGCCTCGTTGCAGCAAACAGCCTGCTTTACTTTCATTTTCGTTTTCAGCATAGCTTGATTAGCAGAAGGAAAAAAAAAATCTGCTCCCAGCAATTTACCTTCTTGCAGCAAGCAGCAGAGGCCCGCCCAGCAATAGGCCATGGCAATCCCTGCAGCCTGAAGGCCGATGCAACGGACAACCAACTTGTGCTAATTAGGCTGTGCTGAAGCTGAAACGGGCTGTTTCTTCTTGCTGCTTGCTGCAAGGAGGTAAATTGCTGGGAGGCAGACGCCAAAGGGTGGGGGCCAGTGGGTGGGTGGGACCACATTCAGTGTATAAGATGCACCTACATTTTCACCCCCTCCGAAAAATACGGTAGTACACACTAGAGATTTGGGGTTGAGGAATAGCTGTCTGTCTCTGAAGTGGGTGGGGAGGGGAGGCACACAGTTGCAGTTAATCCCATTCTAAGATCTAAACCAGAAACTTCAGATCTGGGTTGTAAATCCCCTTTTTCAGGTAGGTGGTAATTTCCAACGGTCTCTAAGCGAGGACTACTATACAACACACCTCGGGGAGTGTCGGTCGAATCACAGATCTTGGGAAGATCATCACCAGGATTTCATTCATCCGTAGTAAAGTCTGACTGTGCAAATGATCCATGTCATCTTTCTGCAGGGCAGAAATCCGGCAGCTGAAAGAGAAGTTGAGAGAGCTGGAAGGAAACCAAAAAACCACCTGTAGACAGGCCGGGATTGATGTGACGCAACCTCCAGATCAGGTGAAAACAAGAGCCTCTTCCAACCATTTAATTTGCTTGGTGAGCTGCAGTTGTCTAATATTGACAAATCTGGCTTCTGTCGACAAGCCCCAGAAGGTTTAGGCTCTTATCTGGCTGTGGATCTTAATAGTTTCTTGGACTGTTTCCCTCTGAAGATCTAACCGCAGCCAAGGATTGAGTTCTACAATCCTGCCGTGTCAAAGAGACGAGAAACTTCCGATATTCTCCTGGTGGCGAGTGATGTACAGCCTCCTGGCCATTAAGGCAGGGTCAGGGAGAAACACGACATGATGGGAGATCATTGATAGCCAAAGATGTTATTGTCAGGATCTTGGCTGGGAGATGCCTGGCTTTGCTCGCCCCCATCTCACTTGGTGAATGGCAAGAAGCCTCTTCAATGCTGTAGCAAAACTCCAGAGTCTCTGAACCGGCGCTTAGCCTGCCTATCGCTTTCTCTCCCCTCTTCTCTCTTTCTTAATCCAGTGTCACTCTGGTTCCGTCAGTCATGAAAGATCAGGTCCACACGTGAAGGTCCAGTTTAACTGATTCATTGTCATTCATGTCTGTGTACAAGATCCTAGGTAGAGGCAGATATTTCTCTCTCTGGGCATGACGAGAAATATATCTGCTGAATATAGCTCCGCATTGGTGACAGGAAGGGCATCCAGCCAGTAAACACTCAGCTCCATTCAGGTGCCCAGACTCCACCTCGAAAGAAATTATGGGGTTGTTAAAAGATGATGATGCCTGTGTACAAGAATCTTCTCAACTCACGGTTAGCACCTGCTAGGAGTTAGAGAAGGATCAGTGGCATTCTAGGGAGGTTGGACTTAATTGTTTGTGGCTGTGTAGGGATTCTAAGCCGATCCCTCTTTTAACTCCACCTCCCAGGTTCTGTTACTCCTACAAATTCAATCTTTCTCAATCTTAGTATCTTTAATCAAATGTGGACTTCAACTCCCAGAATTCCTGACCTGTGCAGTCATCACTTAACGACAATAAATCAGAACTGTCAGAAATGCTGCTGCTAAGTGGCACGGCCATGTGGTGTGTGGTACAACCCCACCGCTTTGCGATGGAACTCTGGTCCCATTGACTGTCATTAACTGAGGACTCTGTAGACCCAGTTCCCGAATCACAGCAGTTTCACATTATTATAATGGCTTTTGCAAAACTCCAATCCTGTGCCAGATTGCCGGTGCATCAGTTGTGTCTCTCTGAGGAAGGCTAAGGAATGTTTACAACTCAGCACACAGAAGCATCCTAGCTTCCCTCTTTAAATTCAGATCCTGATTCCTTCTTGTTCCACCACTAGGCTCCAGATTCATCTTCCAGGCTGCGCCCTTTGCCCAGAGTTGTTGGTTGCAAAGCAGGGAGGGAAGAGGAGGAAGAGAAGACAGCAGCAGCCGTGAGCCTCGTTCGGTCTGCATTCAGGGCTCACGACACAGAAGCAACCCTCGAGGAACGGTAGGTTGGAAACAGATGGTTTTAAACAGTGGAGAAATCCAATTTTTTTTACTATCGGTTCTGTGGGTGTGGCTTGGGCATGGCAGGGGAAGGATACTGCAAAATCTCCATTCCCACCCCACTCTGGGGCCAGCCTGAGGTGGTATTTGCCAGTTCTCCAAACTGCTCAAAATTTCTGCTAACCGTTCTCCAAAACCTGTAAGAACCTGCTGGATTTCATCCCTGGTTTTAATGTGGCCTTCATAAGCTGAGTGGTCCAGCAACCAGCTTATCCTTGAGGCTGAATGTCTATGGAGATTCTCAAGTCATCCAGGTCATGGTTGCCTCAAAGGCAACTGGACTTTCTGGGGGGGGTTTTGAAGATGTTTCGCTCCTTGTCCAAGAAGCTTCTTCAGCTCTGACCAGATGAAGGGGAATGAAAGGATTTATACTCCTTGCAGACAGCTGGTCATTTGTATCCTTTTAGAGAGTCATTGAGGCCACTTTATTTATTTATTTAGTTTGTCAAACATGTACGAGATAACAGGTATAAGTATAAACTTGGACATGAGCACATGAAATGAGTACAAATAAATGGGGACAGTAGGAGAGGGACAGTAGTCACGCTGGTGCGCTTATGCACGCCCCCTTTATGGACCTCTTAGGAATGGGGTGAGGTCCACGGTAGTCAGTTTAAGGTTGAAGCTATGGGGGTTTGAGGATGTAACAATGGAGTCGGGTAGAGCATTCCAGGAATTGACCACTCTATTGCTGAAATCATATTTTCTGCAATCGAGTTTGGAGCAGTTTACCTTGAGTTTGTATCTATTGTTTGCCCGTGTATTATTGTGATTGAAGCTGAAGTAGTCTTTGACAGGTAGGACGTTGTAGCAGACAATTTTGTGTATTAAGCTTAGATCAGACCATAGGCGACGTAGTTCCAGATTAGCCAAGACCAAAATTTCAAGCCTGGTGGCATAAGGGATTCTATTATGAGTAGATGAGTGGAGGACTCTTCTCGTGAAGTACTTCTGGACCCTCTCAGTTGTATTAATGTCCGATATAAAGAATACAGACGAGCTGTATTCGAGAATTGGTCTGGCAAAGGTTTTGTACGCCCTAGTTAGCAGTACAGTGTTACCAGAAAAGAAGCTTCACAAAATAAGGTTAACAAAATGCCTTTTTGGCAATGCTGTTATAGTGAGCACTGGGGCTTAGATTGTGAATCTCTAAAAGTTCTGCAAGGAGTCTAAATCCTTCCATTCCCCACCATCCAGTCAGAGCTGAAGAAGCTTCTTGGGTGAGAAGCGAAACGTCTTCAAAGAAAAAACCAGAAAGTCCAGTTGCCTCTTGAAAAAAGCACCTTTGGGACGTCCTTGAGGCTTAGTTTAGCGAGTCAAAGGAAGAAAGGAGACAACTCCAACCCGCTCCAAGGGCCCACTCAAACAATCAGAAACCTTATCATCAGCTAGATCAGGGGCGTCCAACCTTGGCAACTTTAAGACTGGTGGACTTTCAAGTCCCACGCTGGCTGGGGAATTCTGGGAGCTGAAATCCACAAGTCTTAAAGCTGCGAAGGTTGGACACCCCTGCCTACATGCAGTTGATCTGCATCCCTTATATACCAAGAGACGTGGAATCCAAATCATTTCAGCCAAAAGGCATTCTTCCACCCAACGCCCCCCCTCCCCCCCGGCTGAGTTGCTCACCAGCTGTTGCAGCTACACAAACACACATACCCACAGCCGCAGCAGCCGGCTCAGTTCTGCAGAATGGAAGGCTCGGAGCAAGTGTCTGGATTTGGATCAGAAGCGGTGGAGGTGGGGGGAGGGGGGAATGATGGCTCCTTTATGACTTGCTGGCTCAGGAATTCTGGGAGTTGAAGTCCACAAGTCATACAAGGGCCATTGTTCCCTACCCCTGATTAGGATGCTGCCTACACTGGCATCCCAAGCCAGGCCTAAAGGCCTCACCTCCTTGGTGGAGATTAATTATTGTTGTTAGTTGCAAAGTCATGTCCAACCCATTGTGACCCCATGGACAACATTCCTCCAGGCCTTCCTGTCCTCTGCCATCCTCTGGAGTCCATTTAAGCTCACGCCGACTGCTTCAGTGACTCCATCCAGCCACCTCCTTCTCTGTCGTCCCCTTCTTCTTTTGCCCTCCATCGTTCCCAACATGAGATGCTTCTCCAGTGCCTTTCCTTCCTTCTCTTAGGTGGCCAAAGTCTATGAGTTTCCTCTTCAGGATCTGGCCTTCTAAAGAGCAGTCAGGGTTGATCTCCTCTAGGACTGACCGGTTTGATCGCCTTGCAGTCCAAGGGACTCGCAGGAGTCTTCTCCAGCACCAGAGTTCAAAGGCCTCCATTCTTTGACCCTCAGTCTTCCTTATGGTCCAACTTTCACAACCATCCATTGCAACTGGGAAAACCATAGCCTTGACTATACGCACTTTTGTTGGCAGGGTGATGTCTCTGCTTTTTAATAAGCTGTCTAATTTTGCCATAGCTTTCCTCCCCAGGAGCAAGTGTCTTTTAATTTAATGGCTGCAGTCCCCACCTGCGGTGATCTTGGAGCCCAGGAAAATAAAATCTGTCCCTACCTCCCATTTCTTCCCCATCTATTTGCCAGGAATTGAGAGGGCCAGATGCTGGAGATTGGTAAGGTTAGCCTTTTTCCCCGGCTGAGCATTCTCCCTTAGCACAGATTCGAGGATTTCAATTAGGGTGCAATTTCTGTAGGGCAGGAAATGGATTTGCTCCCCTCCTCCCCTCCCTACCATCGGTAAAGTACTGCCCCCTCCCCTTCCCGGGGACCATCTCTTCCATTATATGTTTTGCACACAGAAGCTAATCTGAGGTCAGAAGGAGCTTGCTCGACCTTAAGCCCCCCAGGCTGGCTGGCGAGAATTCTTATGCAGATCTCCTTGAAGGGGTTGGATGGATCTCTCTCTCTCTCTGACTCACCACTTTGGAATCCGAGCTTTTATGACTCTTGCCCCCCACCACTTATCTTTTGCAGGCCTCTCCCCTCCTACTCCGGGAGGGAGAAAGCCGAGGAAGAAAAGGTGGGCTGGTCACTATTCAAATTCTCCCCTCTGCTCTTCACTTCCGATTCTGGTAATTTCGCTGGCTTCTCCTTAACTTTTTTTTTACACATTTGCTTGATTTCACAAGGGCGGGCTTTATCCCTTTGATCTTGGGTACAAAACTGATCTCATTTGAAACCTGGATATAGAAGTGGGGGGCGGGGGGGCAGCCCTTCTTGCTTGCTTATCTTGGGGAGGGCAATGCAGAACCAGATCTTCCCTTTGAAGCTCACGATTTGAGCGGTATTTCTCAATTTTGGCAACATTAAGCTGGACGGACGTCGACTCCTAGAATCCCTAGCTGGCTGGAGCATTCTGGGAGTTGAAACCTGCCCAGCTTAATGTTGCCAAAATAAAGTAAAAGCATTAAAAAAATGAAAGGAGGAAGGACAAACTATTGGGTGGGTGAAGGGCAAGTTAAGGAAAACAGTAGATCCTGGCGGGAGATCTTCCCCTTACAATTCAAACCCCACTGGGTGGCATCTCCTAATCTTGTTTGCAGCTGGGGAAATATTTTCCCCCTAGGAAATAAGTTGAGACCCATCTCTGAAGATGGGTAAGGTAAAGATAAAGGTTCTCCTCGCTCATATGTACTAGTTGTTCCCGGCTGTAGGGGGCAGTGCTCATCTCCGTTTCAAAGCCGAAGAGCCAGCGCTGTCCGAAGATGTCTCCGTGGTCATGTGGCCAGCATGACTCAATGCCAAAGGTGCACGGAACGCTGTTCCCTTCCCACCAAAGGTGGTCCCTATTTTTCTACTTGCATTTTTTACGTACATTTTTCAAACTGCTAGGTTGGCAGAAGCTGGGACAAGTCACGGGAGCTCACCCTGTTACGCGGCACTCGGGATTCGAACCGCTGAACTGCCGACCTTTTGATCTCCAGTAGACAAGGTCTTTTATTCAGGCAGGAAATTGGCCTGTGAATTAACCCAGCAGGCTAGTCATAGTTGGCTTCAGCTGGTTTCCTCATTTGTCCTAAATAACGTTTCCCACCTGAGAACCAGAAACCCAGTAGCAGAGAAGCCAGAGATGATGGTTTAGTGACGTAGAAACAAAACCGGGCGTGGAAACCCGTCAGTCTCCAAACTCCTCGGAGAATCTCTTGGTCTAAAAAATGGCCGTTCTCCCCCGTCCCCACCCCCGAAGGCATCGTGTCTCTGTTCCTTTCGACCAGCTCTGCTTCTCCTTTCTTTCTTTCCAGCTACCACCTCCCACCATCAGCGGCAAGCTTCCCCCTCAAAGCTCGAGCACCCCGGGGCTGAGTCAGACGACTCGGATGAGATCATCACAGTCATGTCTTCCTTCCCATGAAGGCCACCTCATCTTCCGGCTCCAGCAGTTCTGTGTGACGTCCTCTGGGGCGATCCCGGTTTGTGAACCAAAGGCATCTTGGTTTGGCCAAAAAAACAAAAGAAGTAGTAAGGGGACCCATAATGTCGCCGTCTCCACTTGGTGATTTGGATGAAGATTACCGAGGCAACCCTCCTTTACTAATGTATACCCCAGCAGTGTGCAGGTAGTCCTCGGTTTACGACGACAACTGGGCTCCAAATTTCTTTTGCTAAGCAAGATAGTTTTTAAGCCCCATCTTGTGACTTTTTATGCCATAGTTCTTAAGTGAATCCCTGCCATTTGTTAAGTTCATAACACAGTTGTTGAGCGAATCCAGCTTCCCCTGTTGTCTTTGCTGCTCAGAAGGTCGCAAAATGGGATCACTTGACAACACCCACCCACCCCCCCGGTGACATTGGCAACCGTCATAAATATGAGTCCATTGCCAAGTGTCTGAATTTGGATCACATGACCACGGGGATGCTACAAACGGTTGTAAGCCTGAAAAACGGTCGTAAGTCACTTTCTTCAGTGCCGCCGGGACGGTCACTAAACAACTCGTTGAGAGCCAAGGACTATCTGTGACGTTACCAGAAGCAAGTCACTCAAACCAAACATCTCTTTTTCTTTTAGTCCGCGTTGAATTCGGCTGCTGTTTGCCAGCTGTATCCCCCTCCACGCGGTTCTTTAAACGTCCAACTTCCATCATTCACCCCCCCCCCCCCACAGGGCCCCCAAATATTCAGGTCTTCCTCTTCTGCTCCCATTCCGGTGGCGTCAGAGAAACTGGCGTGCTGAAAGGGCCCGTTGTGTGTCCCTATTGTTGGCTGGAAAAGCGCATCACAAGCTTGTTAAAGAGTCGCAACGTCTTTGGAAACAAAGTCAGAGGCCAAAGCTTGGTAGGCTGTGTCCGGCAAGATGGGGACGATTTTCTGTAAGCAATAAAACATAAAAGAAATTAAGTCATGTCTGGCCCTTAGCTTTTTCCACGTAATTGGTTGTTTTGTTTGTTTTTCATCAGAAAGGGGGGGAAAAAGTCTGCAATCTCTGTCTCCCTCTTGCTGGAGACTGAAGTTAAAATGTTGTTTTTCAACCTTGGATGCATTTACATACCTCTCATCTCCCCCCCTCCATGAGCGTGGTTCTTTTTATGGTACTCTAACCGTCTCAGCGGACCTCTGGCAGTTGCTTTGTGCCAGGATTTCGACCCATTAAAAGTGGGCACCAACCCCAGGAAAAACCTCTGGATCAATATTAATCTACTTGAATTGGCAGCCTCTCCGCTTCCGTTTTGGAGAAGGGAGTTTTTTCAGTAGAGGGCTTCTGGTGGCTTTTGAGTTGATGGACGAGGTCCACTGGAGGTGGTCCAAACAGAAAGAGCTTGATGCTTGCCTGTTGGTTGCGTAGTGTTTCTCATGTTGCAATGAACAAGGATTTACATTCAATTCTGCAGCTACTAAGATTGTTGGACGAGCAGGCACAACAACAGCCAGGGAAGTGATGGACGCCTGGGAAACGGGTCCCTTGTCAATCAACAGGAATTCTGATACATCCCCAAATATTTAGGAGGCCAGGACTTGGCAGCACAAGGAAACAACACCCATCGACTTCATCGCCAGCCATCAACACACCCCAATCAACAACTAAAAAGCCACACACAACAGGCACCATATAAATACCCCACGCAGAACATGTTCTGCCCCAGCTACGGACCCAAAGAACGCGCAGCACACACAAAGTCTGTACAAACCTTTGTTTACTAAATAAACCAGTATTTTATAACAACGGCTGTTAATTAACTGCATTAACAGCCGCCAAGAATTCAAAGAATAATAACTGAAAGCTTACTATGGTTGGCAGAATGCCCAGAAGCAATTTGCAGGAAACTGATAAAAGAACTAAGATCAGGACGCGAAGGAGAGTGGACGAAGTTGTTCCCTGCAAATTGCTTCAGTCGGCGTTCCTCCTTAAATAGGCTAAGGGAGTGGCCAATTAGCCCCAAGCCTTACTCTCGAGGAGACCTCCTCCTGAGGAGCCACTCCTGCCTTTTTGCAGCTCTGCACGCCCGCGCATTGAAGAGAGGCTCCTCCTCTTTGTCCTCTTCACTTAAGGAAGCTTCTGGAGGTTCTGAAGGCCCTGGCTGAATCCCCACCTCTGGCACCACATCTTCTCCAGCCTCCTCATTGTCTGACTCGAGTGCCAGCTGCACACGATGCTGGCGCAGCACCACACCAGCCTCCTCGCTGTCTGAAATCAGCTACTAGCTGCACAGGCCGTGTACAGGCCACAACAGAACAGCACACACACTGCTAGAGAGAAGTTTCCTGAGGATGGGCTCCGAAAGCTCGGAAGACTAAAAACTCTGGTCCCAGTGACCGACCCAGATTGGATCCTTGCAACATTATCCTAGGAGACGTTGATTCGCCTTCTTGAGTAAGTGTTTCTAGTGTTTACGAAAGAGAGATGGATTGATGAAGAGAAAAGACCGCTCCAAGAAGGCAATGTGATAATGCTTGATAATATCTCACGTCCACAGTTGGCGGACGTGATCATCGGAGCTTTCCCCGAGCACGGAGCTCTCTTCAAAGAAAGTTGCTTCCAGACAGTCTCTTTCCCCCATTCAGCCTAAAGATGTCGGTCTCTCTCTCTCTCTCTCTCCTGACCCCGAATGCTTGTCTAATGCAGAACTGGGCCTGTTCTATAACTCTGGCCGACCATCTTTCACGCTAGCTAGACTCTGCAGCTAAGAAGAAGGACTAGCTCCACCGGATGAGTCCTGAACGGGGGCTGGGCTAGATGACCTCCAAGGTCCCTTCCAACTCTGATTCTGTAAAGTTCTGCTGCTTGAGCAGGAGGGGTGGACTAGATGACCTCCGAGGTCCCTTCCAAGTTCTGTGATTCAGATAGGGTTCCCAGAGAGGGCAGGTGCTGGAAACCATCCAGAGCGGAGTCAACGGAGAAAGAAGAAGAGCGGTTTCAACCATTTGCCTAGCCCAGGCAGATGAAATCCAGCTGCTCTTTCTATCGGCACGGTTATCGTCCTAACCGAAGGGAACCGCGGAGCGCTGTCTAAACCCGTCGGTTTTCGCCCGGACGAAACTTTCCATGGTTCATTTGCTAACGACATTGGCCCAGCTGGTGTCTTATTAATTTGGAGGAAGGTTGAGCAAGCTGTAATTAACCTCCAAGAAGCCTGTCTTAGCAGGGCTGGGGAATTCTCGGACTTCATTAGATCAGTCAAGCCAAGACAGGAGCAAAATATTTCCCAGACTTGAGTCCTCTGGGGGAAGGGGTGGGTGGAAAGCTAACCGGGATGAGTAATTTGATGGCCCCAGATCCTCTTTCTCACAGCAGCAACGCTTTGTAACAAAGCTCTTCACGAACAGGAGGCAGGGAAGAGAGAGCTGCGTTTCCGGCAGGATCCGAGCATTCGTTAATCTAGGGGTCAGCAACCTGCGGCTCCGGAGCCTCATGTGGCTCTTTGGGCCCTCTGCTGTGGCTCCCTGTCAGGTGATCCCACCACTGGCTGGCCCTCCCCACCCAGTCACTCCTCGCCTGGCCTGAGAAGGTAAGGGCGACGGCGGGGGGGAAGGAGAAGCGGCCAGAGCAGAGACAGAGAGAGAGAGGGAGAGAGGGAGGGGAGAGATATGTCAAAAGGATTTTGTGGTTCCCGGTGTTTTTTAACAACTGGCTCTCTGCCCTATAGGCGTGGCTGAAGGGGGGGGGTCATGTGACTGGTGGAAGTGAGTGACATCGCGTTGGCCACGCCCACCTGGGTTTTGTGGCTCCCGGTGTTTTCTTTTCTGTGGGAAACGGGTCCAAATGTCTCTTTTGAATATTTAAGGTTGCAGACCCCTGATCCAGAGGGATTCTTGAGAAGGGAAGTCTACGTCAACCTCCTCAACCCAACCAAAGAACTGGCTTGGCTCTAGTTTGGCTTCTGCTGTCCAGAGTGACAGCCACGTGTTACATCACCGGTTTGGCAGGGAACAATTGCTGCCTGTTGGGAGGTCCGGCTGTGCAGAGAGCCAGTTTTGTTTCACACCCCTTGTGAAATGCGCTTCTGTGGCTTGGAGACGGCTTTCAAAGCCACTTATTTAATGAAATTAGCCCCATTTTTCTGAAATAATGGACTGGGATGCACCGCAGGAGAAACCACAAAAAAAAAAAGCACGCTGGGCACTCGGCAAGTTCTTTTGAACAACGCAAGGTCTTTCATTGTCCTTGGTTGAGCCAAGTCCGCGAAGACACAAAGCTCTCAACAGAAAGAGGAGGAAAAGCAGAAACTTTAACCTTAGACTGTCTACTGTAGACCTCACCCCACTCCTAAGAAGGTCTGTAAGGGACGTGCATAAGAGCACCAGCGTGCCCACCGTCCCTGTCCTAATGTTCCGTTTAATTGTATTCATCTTATGTATTCAATTGATGCTTATACTTATATATATTATCTAATATGTGCTCGACAAAATAAAATAAATAAAACCAAGCACTTGTGTTTCAAGAAAGAGCAAAGTTGGGTTTCCTTCCTAAGCAGCCAGACATCTGAATTTATGTAAGCCATTCGTAGTCCGCAGTGAGTGGCTCTTTGATGCTTTGTGGTGGAAGAATAGAACGACGGGGTAGAAGTTGCATTCTGGATTCCAGGTGTGAAGCGGTGGCCTATCTCGGAAGCTCAGCGAGCTACCATCTTGTAGACAATGAGTTCTGAGGATGCTCATAATTGGAAGAGGTTGGTTTTGGTGGAGAATACGGCGATGAAGATGAGGGATCTGGTCTCAAAGAAACGGGAGAGTTGGAATCGTATCTGCTATCAGCCCAGCAACTGCAACATTGCTTTGCACAATGGGGGAGAGAAGAGAGAAAAGGTAGCAGTGATGGGTAGAGGAAGCCAAAGGGTATTTTGCGTGAGACCGCACAGCTCAAGGTTCGCAACTCCTTTGCATTTTCACCAAAACGGAGGAGCAGTGCCAAAAGCAGAGTAGAAGACATCTGGTCTGTTGACCTCTTGCTGATTTCCTGTTGTCAAATCCCTAAACTAAGTTAAGATCAAGGACTGACCTTCTGGTTTGACACTAGTGGGAAAAATTGGATTTGTTTTTTAAGCTAGCAATTGCCTTCCCTCTGTCCTTCCCTCCCTCCTTCCTTGCCTGCCTTCCCCTTCTGTCTCTGTCTTCTCCATCTTCCTTCCTTCCTTCCTAACTTCTTCCCTTCTCCCTCCCTCCCTCCCCCTTCTTTCTGTCTTCTTCATCTTCCTTCCTTCCTTCTTCTCTCTCCCTCCCTGCCTTCCCCTTCTTTCTGTCTTCTCCATCTTCCTTCCTTCCTTTCCTCCCTCTCTCCCTCCTTCCTTGCCTGCCTTCTTTCTCTGTCTTCTCCATCTTCCTTCCTTCCTTCCTAACTTCTTCCCTTCTCCCTCCCTCCCTCCCCCTTCTTTCTGTCTTCTTCCTTCCTTCCTTCCTTCTTCTCTCTCCCTCCCTGCCTTCCCTTCTTTCTGTCTTCTCCATCTTCTTCCTTCCTTTCCTCCTCTCTCCCTCCTTCCTTGCCTGCCTTCTTTCTCTGTCTTCTCCATCTTCCTTCCTTCTTCCTCCTTCCTAACTTCTTCCTCTCCCTCCCTCCCTCCCTCCCTGCCTCCCCTTCTTTCTGTCTTCTTCATCTTCCTTCCTTCCTTCTTCTCTCTCCCTGCCTTCCCCTTCTTTCTCTGTCTTCTCCATCTTCCTTCCTTCCTTCTCCTCCCTCTCTCCCTCCTTCCTTGCCTGCCTTCTTCTCTGTCTTCTCCATCTTCCTTCCTTCCTTCCTAACTTCTTCCCTTCTCCCTCCCTCCCTCCCTGCCTTCCCCTTCTTTCTGTCTTCTTCATCTTCCTTCCTTCCTTCTTCTCTCTCCCCTCCCTGCCTTCCCCTTCTGTCTCTGTCTTCTCCATCTTCCTTCCTTCCTTCCTAACTTCTTCCCTTCTCCCTCCCTCCCTCC